TGATTATTTTTTCGGGGGCGAGAAAAAAAAACAGGTGAAAGTTCGTGAAGAGTACTTTTGGTACCTCGTGATTTGTTTATGGTGAATTACATGTACAGGTACAACTGAATGCAGGCCTTCCAAAATTTGGGGAAATACTAATTAAAGATAAGAACTATCCAATGTACTCAAGACTGAAAACAAGTTTAAACATGATGCTTGTTCTGATTTGTTGTTTATTTGTATATATTTTTTTGAGCTGGTATATTTTGTCTTTAAGATGATCACTAATGTAGTCCTTGATGAGCCCATCGTCAAAAGGGACAATTTATTGATCCCCTTCTAGATTTTAACATGAAGCAACTTTGGTTCAAACTTTCTCAGAAATTCAATCCTATTAAGAGCTATACAACAAGACAAAGCGAATTACAGACAAAGGTACGGTCCAAAACTCTTTGCTAGGAAAGTGTGGACATTCAAATTTTGATTTGATCGGCGTTGGCAACTTAAGGCTGATTTGGGCCTTCTTGCCTAGTTGGAAATTAAAACACCAAGTACACGATATAAATCCATTACTTGCCGTTACTGTATTGAATCAGGATACGAGAAGAAAGTTTACCACAGGGGTTTCTATTGGAAACAATGTTGAAGATAAAGTAATTCCTGGGGACGAGTTTGAGGGATGATTAGGAACTTATTTTAAAGTGGGATTACGTCAGTGCGTCCAATGAGCTACAAATCGCGTTTTAAACGAAATGATGTTAATTGGAAAGAGCATTTAAAAGTAGGATATAAATGTCCACACAACCATTCTTTCAAAACTGGGCGTTCTTGTGTTATTTTCTTGCGAGAACCATGCGAGAACGAGTTTCGGGGGTCAAACTTTTGACACTCTTTAAAGTCTAACTGTTGAATGCTCAGTAATTGTGATTCCTGGCGCACAATGCATCGCATTCTGCGGACGTGCGTGAACCACTGTGAATCGGCGCTGTGTATTATGGGTGCGCGCCTGCAATAAAATTCCCATAGACACTAGTGCTAAATGCCCATACATCAAAATTCATTTAAAAATACTCAGAACTCTCACAGGTATTCAAGCTGCACAGAAAAATGATGATCAACATGTCATCTTTCATTTTCTTTTCAATTTTGGGTGGGTTGACCATTGACTTTTTGAGATATTCTCACCCAAAGAAGAACACCCCTAAAACGTATGATGTTTCCCAAACTGGAAAAGTAGCCATTTTGAAAAAGAATCCCTCCACAACAAGGCTAAATAGCGCCTCTTTCGGGCCCGATTGCATCCAAAATGCTCAGAATTGGAAGCTCCAAGTCCTGGCCAGAGGTTCAGTGCCACATGTCTTCAATTCCCCAATTCCATGGTTCTCAGAACTCTCTAATATAGAATATTTTGAGGGTATAACTTTTATTCATGAGCTCGGCGGACGGATGTTTGGCCTATTTACAGGCGTGCACCCTTATGTACCACATGGCACACAGCATATATCGTGCATTGAGTGGTCACGGCTGGAACCACAAAATGTCCGCCACGTCCGATGTATACAACCGGGGTGGTGGTTTTTGTTATGTTTTTTGGTCTTTTCTCGGGAACGGTAAGACATCAGGTTAGTTTCCTTTCAACAAGACCTTTCTTGAAATAGTACAAGTAAACAATCCAAAACATGACATTTTCGGGGATTTTAGGCCGTAATGCCCGTTTAATCCCTTTTGACGCCTTGTCCCCCCCCCCCCCATCCCTAGACAAGGGACTGCACAGTTCCCATTTCTCATCGACAACCGAAAATTGGGAATTTCAAGTTGAGAAACTCCTCCAATAACAGAAGAATGCCCCGAAATTCCAAAACGAAAAATATATGGAACAACACAAAGAGCTCTGCCATGCATGGTACATTGGTTTTGGCAATAGACATGTATGTTTCAGGACTTTTTTTCGGGGGGCGGGGTGATAAAAAAAAACTGGTGAAAGTTCGTGACGAGGAATTTTGGTTCCTCATGATTTGTTCATGTACATGTATAGGTACAATTGAATGCAGGCCTTCCAAAACTTGGGGAAAATACTCATTAGAAATAGGAACTATCCAATGAACTCAAGACTGAAAACAAGTTTAAACATCATGCCATATTTCTCTCTTTTTTGGTTCTAATTCGTTGTTTATTTTTTATTTGTATTTTTTTTTTTGGGGGGGATATTTTGTCTTTAAGATGATCACTAATGTAGTCTTTGATGAGCCCATCGTCATAAGGGACAATATTATTTATTGATCCCCTTCTAGATTTCAACATGAAGCAACTTTTGTTCAAACTTTCTCAGAAATTCAATCCTATTAAGAGCTTAGACACAACAAGACAAAGCGAATTACAGGCAAATGTACATTTAAATTTTTATTTGATCGGCGTTGGCAACTTTAGACTGAATTTAGGCCTTCTTGCCTAGCTGCAACCACAGTCATTTACTGAAGAAACCTACTGGCAGGATTATCAGGATCTTATGAATAAACAGAAAGCCACACCCAAAATATAATTTGAAGTGATGTTTGGAATTATAGAAACGAGGGAGGTTTGACAAAAATGAATCAACCATTCCCATCACACGAACTTATTGAATCCCCTACATTCACTCGCCCCACCCCTGTAGATGAGAATGCACTTTTCCATTTCTCATCGAATACAAACATTGGAAATTCCCAGATGAGAAACTCGTCCCCCAAGAAATCCCCGAAATTCCAAAACGAAAAATGTATGGAACAACACAAAGGGCTCTTTCATGGTACGTTGGGGTCGACAATAGACGCTTTGCCGTTGGATTTTAGTTTGATATTATTTATTTATTTATTTATTTTGAGCGAGAGAAGAGGTGAAAGATCATCCGCGTGATGGCTTCTGGTGATTACGGCATACATGTACATTTCAATGTGTATGGTGACACATGTAGTATACTAGCAGGAGAGGCGGAACGCTTTCAAACGGGGGGGACTCCAAAAAGGGCACTAGCTCAGAAAAGGGGCACCTTCCGTCGTGTGAAAGTGGAGGAAAAGAATATGGATATGGTCCCGTTCATTTCGCTATAAACCTATATGACGAGGAACAAATTATGAATACGATGTCCCTTTTGCTTTTTGTGTTTCTTTTACCCACATACCTTTTTTTTGTCGCGAGAGGAGCACTGTTGCTTTAGATATATGGCCAGTTCATTGACCATTTTATTCGCGTGAATAGTACTATTATTTTTTAGGGGCCTAGGGGCCATATTCATGAAGCAGCCAACTAGGCCTTAGTAGGATACTAAAATGCCTAGTAGTCTACTATGGAGTTGACAACTAAATTGTAATTCATGAAACCTTACTAAGAACCTTGCTAACTAGTTACATACTAGGGGAATTTAGTTTCATACGTGAGTAATGGAATTAGGCGTTTTTTGGAGGAGTGGGCATGTATGGAATGTGATGACAACAGATACAATAGTGTGACAGGTGTATTAGGCTAATCCATGTCCAGAACTTGCGTGGATTAGCAAAAAAAAATGACCAAGGCATGTGGTATAGTGTACTGCATGTAAGTGAATCGACATCAAATCCTCTAGCAATTGTATTTAAAGCTAGGTCATCAAACATGGCTATAAAGAAAGGCAAGGAAGGCAAATTATTCTCAAGATGACAACTATTTATGGCAGAAAAGTATGAGGAATTAAAAGATGTTATTTATGCTAAGCATAAGGATGCAAACACTAACAAGAAAAAGAAAGATGCATGGGCGGCTATTCTCATCGATCACCGTTCAAGATTTTCACAGGTTGAAAGATCATTGGATATTTAAAAATTAGATTATCCAAATTAAAATCTGAGTCAAGAGAATGCCTGTCAAGTATGAGAATTAAGTCAACGAAGGCAACCGGAGGGGGAAAGCCACCTAAAAAGCCAAGTCTGGCACAACCAAAAATGATATAGTTGAAAACTAGTGACTTAGAGTTGCCCTGGATCAACACTAACTTTTAGTAAGAAACTTAGAATTTAACTAACGCTAGTAATGTTTCATGCATACCAATCAGTTACCAACTAGGCTTAGTAAGGTTTCATGAATATGGCTCCAGTTTTCCATCTTGAGAAGCGGCACAATTTTAATGTTGCGAGCGGGGCACTATGCATTCGAGAAGTTATCGTGATGCTGAACATTTTCAGCATCCAGACTCCATCTGGTCCTACTCCTAAATATAGTGTTTAAAGCCGGCCAAGCACACATTTATTTCTTTATTAAAGAAAATAAAACGGAAGATGCTTTTGTCTGGTTCCACTATGCAAACTAAGTAGAAAAGTACCAAAATGCATTTTACAAAAAATTGTTTAATCTGCTTCTTCGCTATTACGACAGTAAAAATGCAGATGTCCACTTTTGAACATCCATAAACAACGCCGATTTGGTGCCACTGCTTTTGTGCTATAGAGATTGCCTATAATGCATGTACAGCTCAAATTTGGATTTTGGATGAAACAGTAGTAGTGGACTAGTACAGTACTGTTTCATCCAAATTTCTCACGCAGGAATTCCCCTTTCGAAACGCTGATGCATGCCTCGGGGTGTCGAAAGGGAAATTCCCGCATGAGAAATTCATCCTTACGTGCTTATTGGTTGCCTCTGGGGCGTGGGCAAACTGGGCATGCGTACTTTCATTGTGCTGCGCACTGTAACTTGTTTATTGAAATGCGCACTGCAGCTCTGCCGAGTAGTTTGCAAACACGTCGAGTAAAAACTATAAAAAGGCAGTATAGGCCTATTTGTAAGCTCCACCGACACTATCCACAAGAATAGGGTCTATACTCATCAAGGCATTTCGGCAAAATTCAGCGTGAACAAGAAGCCATGTAAGTGAAAAAAACATTAAACAAATTCCACCATCTTGCTTCTTATACGCTCTGTGCGCCAGGTGAAATTTACCTATAACATTGTCTTTTACGTTCCCTTTTTTCATGCTGAATCTAATGAGGCTGTACTTTTTAATTCCTCAGGGCAGCAGCAGACCTACCTGTGGGACACTTCCAGCTTCAGTTGCTCACAAACCGAGGGCCCATTGTAGAGGTCACTGCCAACTACAAACGAATGGTGCTCGAGGATTACCTGCAGCGAAAGCAAAATCGACCTGAACGCCACGCTATTCGCCATCTTCTTGGCGTGCTGGCTTTCGCTCAGGACCGCGACGTGCCGGACCGTGCGCGGGAGCGTTTTGAGTTTATCCTCTCCGAAGATCCGGATAATTTGAATGCGAAGGCAAACCTGGCCTACGTGAATGGGACAGCTGCCCCACCTTATGATGAGCCCGATCTGACATCGGAAGCTAGCAAGCAGCAACATGCGAGACGCTTCGCCGAACAGGGATACGCCTACATGTTTGAGCTGTTCGACGAGACGAAGACGTGCGACCGATACGAGAAGGGACTAGATCTCTATAACAGAGCCATGGAGCTGGCCGGTGACCTGGTGGATCACACGGAGAAAGAGGACTGGCAGTTCTGCATCGGACTTGCAAGTTATAAGATTCTGCGTATTTTAGCGACGGGTGGAGATGGCGGACAAAGAGCGCAATCGTTGCTCGAATCGGCTAGCGGAAACTTTCGGGCAATAGTGGACAGTCCACACGCAGATAACGCAATTAAGAGCGAAGCGTGGCTGCAATTTGCCCTGACTCTCAAAAAAGGTTCCGAAATGGGACTGCATGGACGTGCGAACATAGCCCCGGAACATTGCCTGGATAGGGCACTGGAATTAGCTCCGGATGATTCCTTGAAGGCCCGCATCCTGGCTCGTCAGGCGCATTTCACTTTCAAGACCGATCGAAATGAGGGCTTTAGGAGAGCCAGGGCCTTGTTGGACAGTTCCATTGATTTCGACAACTCCTCCCTAAATTTCCATGCTTATTCCTTGCGTGCAGAAATTTGCATTAAACAGTACAGAAGGTCTAAGAACATTGCTCTCATCACGCGAGCTAAGGATGACTTGGAGTTCATCTTGCAGCAGCACGTTTCTCCCTGGGATTTTGAAAGACTGGCCGAGGCGTATTTGTACCTGGCGAAAAGCTCCATCGGGGAAGAGTCCAGAGATTACATCAGGAAGGGTCTCGAGACCTGTACGAAGTGCGAGGGATGTCAGGACGGCGCGGGGAGATCCATACTTCACCACGTACGTGGACAGATCCTGTGCCTGAACGGCCAGCATCAGGAAGCGATGGAGTCCTTCCAGATAGGCATTGCATGCGAGGAGAACACCGGCTGGATAAGCGGCAACGTGGGTGCGCTCGCCGAAGAGAGGCGACACGTTGAAAGGCAGTACAATCGTTGAACTATGGTGAGATACTGTGGACAAAATAATTATCGGTGTAGAAAATAGAAGCGCAAAAGTTTGAGCTATTGAACAAAAAGTACTAATGTTCCGAACGTATATTGTAGAACTCATTTTCCTTAAGATTATGGACACAATTTGCAAAAATGTACTTTTGCCGATATATACGATAAATCTGAAGCAGGCTATTAGTATTTTTTTAAAAATACGAACCTGTTTATCTGTCGAAATTTCAGCTCGGTAGATATTTTTTTAGAAAACTGAAACTGTGTCTTCATTTTTCTTGACAAAAATCAAGGATTCGGTTGAAAGTCCTCGCTTCCAATATGTTCCTTAATGCGTTTTGACCGTTGCACCCTCCTGTACATGTTGTGACCCCAGTTTGTCGCTCGAGGGAAAAATACTTCTCATACATAGATAGGTATTGAAAACGATTGCAAACTACACTAAATTCATTCAAAAAGAGGGTTTTTTCCAGGTGTGATAGTTTCATAGTGTTTTGGCGCTTCGTCGTTGGTGTCCATTCCCTTTAAAGCTGCAGCTTTATTCATTTCACGTTAATTTCATTGAATAAAAAAAAGAGCGAAAAGATTAGTGCAAAATATTTAAAAGGAAAACAGTGTTTGGCATGACAAATAATAAAACTTTTTACTTCTTTGTTAGTAGGCTAGAAAGCTAATCGCCAGAGACTATTTAGTATCCCTTTTTAGAAACTTTTATCAAAATATTTGCATATCCTTACTGGATTTTAATCGTCTTGATACAGTTTTTACACAGATTAGATTCATCTATTATTTTGACCTTCGCAACTGTGTGTGATCGTTCAGAAGAAAAAAACATTTCAGCCTCTTTGGTGTGTTTTTTGCAAGTTGTGAAATGGTGGAAGCAAGTTTGATATTTAATCTCGACTTGCTTAGACTTATAAGTCTATGAAGTTAAATTGTTCAATGTAGATGTATTCTGATGTTCTGATCATTATTAATTGCAGTCGATGCATAGTAATGTCATGTGTTCGATGTCAAATCGATTCATAGTAATAATGTCATAACGATGACCACACATGTATCTCATATATACACGCGTGTGGATAAACTGGTTTTTGACCATTTTCATGTAAATAGCCCATTTTTCTGTAAATAGCCGTCATTTCTTAATTAGGCTTTATTTTCATTGCCATTTTCACCATATGTCACCAAGACCTTGATGTGATCTTGTAAAATTATGTATGTGGTATGTAGTCATTTTATATTTCGTGACGTGGGATTTTATCAGTGTAAATTAGATGTCGTCAATATCCCTACAGTCATGTAGTCATTTTGTTTGATGCAGTCATTGTGTAGTCAATCCATTATTTTCGTGTGATAGTAGTTATTTGATATCATTAGTTAATACGCTAGTTGGTGTAGCCAGCTCACCACCAATTTGAAGAAATTAATAATCATTGTTTTGTTAATTCAGTGTATTCTGCATGTAATTTAGCTGAGTCCAAAGAAAAATCTTGTTTTAAAACAAACATTTAAGGAAGGCAGACAAAAATAAGTTTACTGCAAATTCAAGAATAAATGAGCTTTAAGCAAAAGCTACAGGCAAAAGGAAATCTCAACATAAAATGTCAATATTCAGTATCAAATATTCATTACTCTGTGTTTGTAGTCAATATTCATTATTCTTTGTAGTCAATATTCATTATTCTTTAAGTCAATATTCATTATTTGATGTAGTCAATATTCGTCATCAGATGTAAACAATATTCGTTATCTGATGTAGCCAATATCATTATCCAATGTAATAAATTTGTATTATCTGGTGTTTAGTCAATATTCATTATCTGCAGACGATAGTCAATATTCATGATCTGAATCAATGTTCATTATTCTGATGTAGCATTATTCATTATCTGATGTATAGTAAATATTCATGATCTGGTGCAGCCATAATTATTCATTAGATGAAGGCGTCAATATATTGTTGATGAAGCCAATTCATTTTGAGATGTTGTCAGTTTAATAGTTTGGTGTCAAAAGGTATTTTCTGATCACGTGGTGGACGATGCAATGCATGACTTCACTAATAGCTGGAGAAGAGGCCAAAACCATATAGCTTGTTGCGGAGGAGGGGGATGCCAATGGGTTCACATAATACTGTTGGGCAATGTTATTTTACCCAACATTGGTTTGAAATTACCTCATTGTGGGTTGATTTGGGTAAAACTTATCCGACATTGGGAAGAATTTGTCCAAGAGTTTAGCCTATTATGTTGACCAACACTGGTCTACCTATCAACCCATTTTGCCCAACGTTTTGACAGTGTACCCCAATGAGTTTCCAGTCGGGGTCCACATTAACGTTTTATTGATAAGACGCAAAATAGCCCTTCCGAAGGCGGGTTAATAGCGGGGTGGTTGGTTGGGTGACCAACCCCAACTCCAAGAAAAAAAATCCTACACTCTTAATGGTCCCGAGTCAGGTTTTATCCCGGTTTCTCATCTCTTGACACATCTCGTGATCAAAATGACCCCTCACCAAATGGGTCAAAATATGACACTTCTCTGGATCAAATTTGACACTTCTCTGGGTCAAAATGGCATTTCTCGGTCAAACTGACACTTCTCTAGATCATTTTCCCGGTCAACTTGGCAAAAATTGTCATTTTTACTCAAAAATGTGTCATTTTGACCCTAAAAAGTACCCGGTCAACTCTGACCGGATTTCCGGTTCAGTGACCCGACCCGGGACTTTTTATGAGTGTAAAATCTTTTACCTTAGAAATAACGTCGATCGATTGAACAATAAATACGATTCATTGTTAAGACCCTCTAATAGACTCTACAAAATTATGCTGCGACTTAAACAGTTCAGTCAACCACTCCTCCCCACCCCCCCACCCCCCCAACCCCCCCCCCACCCCCACCCCCCCCCCCCCCCCCCCCCCCACCCCTCTAAAAACTATGGACTTCAGTGTTTTCAGCCAGGCATCCTTTTCAGTGCATCCGCTTAAAAGGCATGGACCCGCCATTAATTTTTTCCCATCACCAAAGTGTGTGCTACTCGAGGAAGTGTTGGAGACTAGACTAAAGCAATCCAAAGCAGAAAACGAAAGGCGGACTTAAAATTTCACAATTGATGTTCCGAAGATGAGGTTCCATAAAATGTAGGGGATAGAAAAGGATTCCAAAGAACATTTGCACTTCCTTCACTGAAATATCCTGGTTACGCCACTAGGATAGAAAGCAGAATATATGCTGCATGTATTTTTAGTTTAAAAAGTCCAACAACAGATGCAAAGAGCACAAGACCCCATCCCCCCCCCCCCCTTCCCCACCCCTCCATAGCCCCTGGAGAGATCCATTCTCATGTTAGCGCACAATTACTAAAAAGGGCCTTTTATTGATCATTGTTCGCTCTGGGAAAACATAATGTAGTATTGCTCATCAGTAGATGACCTAAGCCACGCCCACTAGTACTAACATGGCTGGACCATTAGATTCTGATATTCCAGCATGGTTGACTCAGCACCGAGAAATGTCACATAATACAGTTCATGTTAATGTATAAAACGTATGGTTGATGACTCATCCATTCATTAATGTGCAGCGTGAGACTATTGTGTACGAATGTGCACTGATGCATAATCCGCCATTTTGGTTCTAAACAGTCGCAACTCTCTCGATATACGGCTCTGATCACTATGTGTTACCTTTATTTTCGGTTGCATAAATCGAACAGCAGATGCAAAGAGCACAATACCCCGCCCCCCCCCCTTTCCCCGCCCCTCCATAGTCTAATCCCTGGCACTGGAGCCGAGCCGACAGCCATTTCTAGTCATGGGAATTTCCAAATGGGAATTCCCGTATGAGAAATCGATCGGCGCAACAAAAGAGTCACCTTATTTTTTTAGCGCACAATTAAAAACGGACCTTATTGAACATTGATCGCTCTGGAAAAACAAAACACAACAAACTCCGATTTCAATTGTCTTACCGTTTGATTGGGTGTGATTGTCGAAAATTTAAATAACAATGTACAACACGGGGTATCCTTCCGCGAAGATATGGATCGATATTGAAAAAAAAATGAGACAGAATGTATATGCTGTTATCGCTGTTGTCACTCATTCATTGTTATCTGCGATGAATTCAGACATTGTTTGAACAGTGAGTGACGATGAGACAGTGTTTTGTAATTTGGATAATTAAAGTAAATGTTGTAAGAAGTGAAATCGGCGGATACTAAATAATAAGTCCCTTGTGTGCAGCAACAAGCAACCGACAAATTCTGCTTAAACTTCGTGGTGAAGACAAGATGTAAGTTTATGTAAATAAAAAAAAATGTGACGACTGTTGCAATGAGCAACGAATGATCGAGCCAAAAAACAGTATTCATAGGAAGATGAATTTGCGTCGAGAGATCTAAATATCTGCATTGGGTTTTGCACTTCAACGAAGTATTTTGTTAACAAATTCTTTCGGAGAAAAACAATCACGAGCTTATACATATCAAAAACGTGATTGTTCAAGTACTGGGAAATTATTAATTTTCAGTGGTCCTCAGTCGCTTTCAGTTATAGTCCAGGCACGGATCGGGGGGGGGGGGCAAAACACCCCCAGCTCTGTCCAAAATGTGGTTTTTTTCCCCATAGAAATTCATACAAAAATTAATAATGCCAACCTCCCCGCCCCCCCCCCCTCCTCCCTGCTCTGACATCCAAAAACAATCATGCATGTATTAATTTATGCCTGTGCTCAAAATACGGGCAGAGCCTGCTGGGTTACGGTGGTATTTGTACACTATCCTGTAGTATAGTGTTAATAATCGTCGGATTTGAACAGCGCCCCAATTGAAAGTATGGTACGAGTCCCCCCCCCCCCCATCGATTTTACGGAGCCAAGTGTCCGAACAAAAAAAACTGTCTATTTGCTGATGACACCCCCCCCCGCAACAATTTCTGGATCCGCCCCTATAGGCTTACCCTCTTTAATTAGAGTCATGAGAAATACAGATGACATTAGTCTGCTTGCTGACACCCTCCTTGATGCCAAATCTCTCCTCCATAAAGTAGAAGCTTGCTGCAAGTCCGTTGGTCTCTCTCTTAATGCAAAGAAGACTGAGTCCATGGTTATCAACCCGTCTACCTATGACGACGTCACTGCACTGGATGACAGTAAGCTCGATAACGTTGATGACTTCAAGCATCTGGGCTCCTGCACCAACACAGCTCATGACATCGAGTGTAGAAAAGCTCAAGCTTGGTCTGCTCTGTTCTCACTGACCAAAGTATGGAGATCCTCGATATCCAAGACCACCAAACTTAATATCTTCAAGACCTCAGTAGAATCCATCCTCCTCTACGGTTGCGAGTCCTCGACCCTGACCAAACAGATCTTTGCATCCATTGATGGCACCTATACACGGATGTTGCGGGCTGTTCAGAACGTTTCTTGGCAACAACATCTCCCTAACTCTGTTCTGTATGGTGTCCTTCCCCCTATCTCCACCACCATCAGACAGCGTCGCCTTCGGCTAGCCGGTCACGTTTTTCGGCATAATGAGCCAGCTAGTCAAGTTCTCCTCTGGAATCATGAAGCCCTCGTCATATATATATTACTGGTCACCTTTATACCGATCTCACTGACGACTGACTGACTGACCGACCGTCATTGTAAGACGTGCCCAATTTTGAAGCCTGGACGAGTTATTCAGAGCTCGGCAAGTCTTGATTAAACACACTCTTCTTAAAAAAAGACAAATCTCTATCCTGGTCATTCCGCCCACACAGTTATCCGTGTGTTAATGTTTTGGGGATAAATTCATTTGAGAACGTACTCATATATTTGCATAATTATACATGTAATAATATTTTTTCTTCCTCTTTAGGGCATCGAATAAGGAAAAATTACCACCCGCGGGGCACTTTAACCTACCGTTGCCAATTGGCACGAAAGAGGTCGTGAAAGCTAACGCAGGCTATAAACGCGACCTGCTTAAATATTACCTGGAGCGGAGGACAAACTACTGCGCCAACTGCAACCTTCTGGGCGTGCTGGCTTTCACGAAGGGAGACAAAGAGGAAGCGCTGAAGTACTTCAAGATGGCACTCCGTGAAGATCCGGAGAATCTAAATGCCTTTGCAAACATAAATCACGTGATGAAAGGGCATTCCAGTTTGGAAGAGGATTATTTGGTGCTTACGCCAAGGATGAGAGCGCCGAGGAAGGAACAACAGGCGAGATGCTATGCGGAGCAAGCCTATCCGTATGTCCAACTCTACCACGACACAGTAAAAGACCAGAGATATGGCTGGTATAACTGGGCCGTCCGCTTGTACACAGAAGCAATCACACTAGCTGGTAGATTGGTAAATCAAGCCACCAGACAGGAGTGGTTGTTTAGTTCTGGACTCGCCAGTTTCAAAATCTTGGAAATGATGGTCATCAAAAGAAACGAGGGGTGTGCTAAAGAGGCGTTGCGAAGCCTAGCTGAGAGATTTGGGGCTATTGTGGACAGCCCATTCGCAGATGACGTAATGAAGTGCAAAGCACTGATGCACGTTGCCGTCGCCTTCGACAAAGCGTCTCGACTCTTTGCAATACCTCAAGAGTACATACCCAAGAGCCTGGTGCAATACATCGACCGACCGGAGAAGTGTTTGTGTGGGAGGCGCGAGATTTGTCGCCGGAAGACGCCTTGTCGGCCAAGATCCTCGTTCGCCTTGCTCAGATCCGTCGACGACCTAATTGTGGTGGGTCGTTCGAGGAAGCCATGGCTCTCTTAAATGAATCCATCGCTCTCGACCGCTCCATGTTCAACTTCCTCGCCTACTCGAGGGCCTCACTGTGCATCAAACAATACCGTAGACGCCCCAATGAGCTAGATCTCCTATCGAAAGCTCGGAGAGACCTGGAGTTCATCTTGCCGAAGCACGAATCACCGTGGGATTTTGAATGGCTGGCGGAAGTGTATTATCACCTGGCGAAACGCACCGCAG